TTATACCCTTGCATATATTGATTGTTATACACTAACTTATATTGTTAGCTATACACATCTACTTATATTGATAGTTATACACTTACTTTTATTGATATTTAAACACTTACTTACATTGATAGGTATACACTTATACTTTTATTGATAGTTATTAACTTACTTATATTGATAGTTATACACTTACTTATATTGATAGTTAAACACTTACTTATATTGATAGTTGTGCACTTATTTATACTGATAGTTATACAATTACCCATATTGAAAGGTATCCACTTACTTATATTGTTAGCTATACACACTTATATATATTGATAGTTATAAACTTACTTTTATTGATAGTTATACACTTACTTAAATTGATAGTTAAACACTTACTTACATTGATAGTTATGCACTTACTTACATTGATAGTTATACACTTACTTATATTGATAGTTATACAATTACTTTTATTGATAGTTATACACTTACTTTTATTGATAGTTTACACTTACTTTTATTGATAGTCAGACACTTACTTTTATTGATATTTATACACTAACTTGTATTGATAGTTATACACTTACTCGTATTGATAGTTATACACTTACTTATATTGATAGTTATACACTTACTTTTATTGATAGTTATACACTTAATTCTATTGATAGTTATACACTTACTTTTATTGATAGTTATACACTTACTTTTATTGATAGTTATACACTTACTTTTATTGATAGTTAGACAATTACTTTTATTGATAGTTATACACTTACTTATATTGATAGTTATACACCTACATATCTCAGCACAAAAACAACATGTCTTTAAGAAAGTTCTTACCCTGTGATAGTGGTAAATTTTGTTATGATAAAATAATAAAATAATATAACAAAATAATAAAATGATAAAAAAAAATCTCAGTTTAAATCAAATCTTTTAAGTCAAAAAGATTTGAGCAGATAAAAAAATAAGATTTGTTTGAAAAAATTATGTTTGCAGTTTTCTACGGATTGAAGTTTTCTACGGATCTACAAATTATGTCTTAATAAACTTGAAAACGACTTGAATATAGTTTTTGATTTGCCTTTCTCTAACTTTTAAATATATAATTGTAAAAAGGGTTAATATATATATATAGTATATATATATAACTTCTGCAATATATCTCCGGAAGACGACATGTTATTATTTTTATCTCACATAAATTAGAAGACACACACTGTTAAAAAGAGTTTTAACAATACCAATAATATTGGCTCGATACCTTGCTGTTCACTTCTGATTGGTTAAACAAAACAGCTGTATTTTTCATTAGAGGACTGGTATGAGACCTATTTGTATTTTGTACCTATACAATTTGTAAATTTACACGTAAATTGTAAATTTTTGTGTAAAGAACAGACATATTTCCCTGTGTATCATTTTTATTAAATATTGTAATGTTTTAAATGTAAATGTAACATATTTACTTTATATAAACGTAAATGTAAATATAAAGGTTTTATCCCTATGTAAAATATTTACTTTATATTACTTGTAAATGTAAATTTAAATGTAAATTGTAAATTCTCTGTGTAAGGGTTTTATCCCTGTGTTAAAATATTTACTTTATATTACTTGTAAATGTAAATATGTAAATTGTAAATTCTCTGTGTAAATGTTTTATCTCTGTGTACAAATATTTTCTTTATATTTTTTTAAGTGTTAATGTAAATTATAAATTCTCTGTGTAATGGTTATATCCCTGTGTAAAATTTTTAACGTTATATTAATTGTTAATGTAAATGTAAATGTAAATTGTAAATTCTCTGCGTAAAGATTTCATCTCTGCGTAAAACATTTTTTTAATATAACTTATTTGTAAATGTAAATTGTCAATCTTATTTAAAAAAAGATTCATATCATGTCAAAAACAATACCTGAAGTAACGGGAACAGATCGTATCTGAAGATCTAAATCTATGAAAAGTGCCAATAATTTTGAATTGACCCAAGATCAAGAGGGAACAAATTGCAATAAGGATACGTCAGGACTTGTTACAACTTATTCAAGAGGACATTTATTTTAAGTAACATCTGGAAGGAATTATTAGATTTTGGTTTCCTTTATATCTTTCAAAATCTATCTCGCAAGTTGCTATTCCAACTATTAAATATATATTTAGAACTGTATATGCGAGAATATAAGAATACAGGGGACATTAGTTCCAAAACTTGGCCCATTTCTAATACCGAGTGTTAGAAATGGGCACAAATTGAAAGACTGGGTTTTTGGGATCCCGGCCCATATCCAGAGTAAAAGTGGATAATGAAAACTATAACCAACATTTTATTAAACAAGACGAGGACAACAATTCTCAATTTTAAACTTATTTAAATTAAAATCATAATAGAAGTTCTTTTTATATTAAAGCTCTTGACTGTTTTCAAGACAATGTTGTCTTCCATTTTCGAACATATCCTGAACATTGTCGCGTTTTCGAGACAAACCCCACTTTTCAGTTTTTGAGTAAAATCCACAATTCAAAACAAAACTCACTTTCATAACTTACAAAAATAAATGACTGAAAACAAAAATTGTCTGATGAACACTAAATTAACTTCTGAATTATTTCTAGAATCTAAGTTTCCACATTTTATCTGTTAAATTAGAGAATATGGATGATTTATTTCAAGCATTTTAAACAAACAATTTCCCGCATTTCTAGTTAAATCTATATTGTAAAAGATGATATTAATATTTTGATTTATAAATGCTATAATAATTTTATAGTTATAAAAAAACAGTTTGTTTTCATTTTCTATTTTGTTTATATTTTACCTTATTAAAAAATTCTTGTTTTGTTTCATAAGTGCGTAAATGCTTGAAAATTAACATTGATATGAATTCCGGTAATTGTCTCTAAACCAGGATATGTTCCGGAAACGCGACATGAGCTGAAATCCGGTAGGGAATTGGTCGAAAATGAAATCAAGAATCATCAAAAACTAATAATAATCACCTTACATATTTTTACACAGGGAATTAACCTTTACACAGAGAATTTACAATTTACATTTACATTTACAAGTAATATAAAGTAAATTTTTTTACACAGGGATAAAACTTTTACACAGAGAATTTACAATTTACATTTACATTTACAAGTAATATAAAGTAAATTTTTTTACACAGGGATAAAACTTTTACACAGAGAATTTACAATCTACATTTACATCTACATTTACAATTAATATAAAGTAAATATTTGAATATATATATATATAAATTTACAATTTACATATAAATTTACAATTTGTATAGGTACAAAATACACACAAATATCGTATTTTTCCTGGAACAACTCATAATACACTTTTTGCAGTGCACTGTATAATAAGTTGTAGATGAATTGTGTTTTTATGAGTGCACGGTATTAAACAGGTTAGCATCTTTAATTTGCAAAACTGTGGGAATAATTTGCTAACAATTCTCAGGCTTCCACTTTCCGCATTAGTATCAGGAATAGTTTTAGTTAATTCTCTTCATTTTAATAATAATTCATTGATGAATAATTCATTGATGAATAATTCATTGATGAATAATTGACTTATGCATAATATATTTATCAATAGTTAAAAATTGAATAATTCATGGATGCATAATTGTTTGATGAATAATTCATTGATGAAAAATGCATTAATGAATAATTCATTTATGAATAGTTAATAATTGAATAATTTATGGATAAATAATTATTTGATGAATAAATCATTGATTTATAATTCATTGGTGAATAATTCATTGTTAAGGAATTAATAAGTTAAAAGTTCATTGATGAATAATTCTTTAATGGACAATTCATTAATGAATAATTTATAAATGAATAATTCATTGACGAATAATTCATTTTTGAATAATTCATTGTTTAATAATTTACTGATGAACAATTCATTGGTAAACAAAAAATAATTAAATAGTTCATTGATGAATACTTCATTATATTGATGAATAATTTATAAATAAATAATTAATTAATAAATAATTCATTGATGAATAATTTTTTGATGAATAATTTATTGATGAATAATTCATTAATGGACAATTCATTAATGAATAATTTTTAAATGAATAATTCATTGACGAATAATTCATTTTTGAATAATTCATTGTTTAATAATTTACTGATGAACAATTCATTGGTAAACAATAAATAATTAAATAGTTCATTGATGAATACTTCATTTATGGACAATATATTGATGAATAATTTATAAATAAATAATTAATTAATACATAATTAATTGATGAATAATTCATTGATGAATACTTTTTTGATGAATAATTTATTGAGGAATAATTCATTGAGGAATAATTCATTGATGAATAATTCATTGATGATTAATGAATAATTCACAAATGTATAATTCATTAGTGAATAATTAAATAGTTCATTGATGAATAATTCATTGATGAATAAATCATTGATGAATAATTCATTGATGAATAATCCATTGCTGCAAAATTTATTAATGCATAATTCATTGGTGAATAATTCATCGATGAATACTTCATTAATGGATAATTCATTGGAAAATAATTCATTGGTGAATAATTCAATTATGAATAATTCTTTGATGGATAGTTCATCGATCAATAATTCATTAATGAATAATTCATTGGAAAATAATTCATTGGTGAATAATTCATTGGTGAATAATTCAATAATGAATAATTATTTGATGGATAACTTCTAGATGAATAATTTCAAGTACAAACAAGCCTATTTAAGTAATTCTTCCCTCGGCGTACTAATACATTGTACATGGTACAAGCCTACCTAAACCTACGATTATATACATGAGTAGTTTGTACAGAATGTTCAATTTATATTTATTTTACCTTTACATTTCTACACATATATCCGTTAAAGCAATCTTGCGGCACAATTTTGCATTTGAATGAAAGAACGAAGACGGTAATCATTCCACTATTTCCTTTATATTACAGTATAGCGTACAGTGTAAACCTACCTATACATGATTCACAATGTTTTCCTTTGCATAGTTCACCAACAACTGAGTAACTAAACTAAGAGGGAAAGTGTGCGTGAAGAGAGGGATAGATAGATAGACAGAGAACACACTTAATTCTATTGATAGTTATACACTTACTCGTAGTTTCGTAATTTCGTAATTTTGTCTCTGAAATCTCATCCTTTGTGGCCGTGGATGTTTTTCCTAAAAGTGATCAAAAATGTCTAATCTTTCTTCCATCAGCAAGAAGTTATTACACCGGCAACAATTTGTTTTCGCTTGCAAAAAGAATAAATCTGAATGAGTTTAAAACTTTGAAAAACATCAAATTTTTTCAATTGTAATAACTTTAAGGCTGGTCCAAGATTTATCTTTTATTTATCAAAAATTGTCCCATAGTTTCACCACTACCTTTATCACATAGTTTCACCACTACCTTTATCACATAGTTTCACCACTACCTTTATCACATAGTTTCACCACTACCTTTANCATGTGTAAACTCTATGATATGAAAGGATATCCTGCTATATCTGTACATGTGTAAACTCTATGTTATGAGAGTAATCTTGCTATATCTGTACATGTGTAAACTCTATGATGTGAAAGGATATCTTGCTATATCTGTACATGTGTAAACTCTATGATATGAGAGGTAATCCTGCTATATCTGTACATGTGTAAACTCTATGTTATGAGAGGTAATCTTGCTATATTTGTACATGTGTCTACTTTATGGTATACGAGGAATCATTCTAGTTCTGTATCTGTATACTCTATGAATAAGATATAATAAGTTATATCTATATATGTGTATACTCATGGATAAGACGGAAGAAGTTTGATCTGTATATGTGTATACTCTATTTATTATACGGAAGAAGTTAGCTCAGTATATGTGTATACTCTATGGATAAGGTGGATCTATATATGTGCATACTCTATGGATAAGGTGGAAGAAGCTAGATCTGTATATGTGTATACTCCATGGTAAAAATTACATTCACCCTTCTTCTTTCAGGCTGTAGTTTATCCTGCATATATAGTTCTTAGTTGGATCACTCTGGTTCACCCTTCTTCTTTCAGGCTGTAGAGTTTATCCTGCATATATAGTTCTTGGTTGGATCACACTGGTTCACCCTTCTTCTTCCAGGCTGTAGTTTATCCTGCATAGATAATTCTTGGTTGGATCACACTGGTTCACCCTTCTTCTATCAGGCTATAGAGTTTATCCTGCATATATAGTTCTTGGTTGGATCACTCTGGTTCACCCTTCTTCTTCCAGGCTGTATTTATCCTGCATAGATAGTTCTTGGTTGGATCACACTGGTTCACCCTTCTTCTTCCAGGCTGTAGTTTATCCTGCATATATAGTTCTTGGTTGGATCACTCTGGTTCAGCCTTCTTCTTTCAGGCTGTAGAGTTTATCCTAAAATAATAAAATATTAGTTTGGATTTTACAAAGATGGTAGAATCTAGATCTAAATGTTGGCGGAAGAATAACCCACTATTTCTCAATTTTCAGAAAAATATATTAATAAGGAAAAATTTGCATGCTTTTGCTTAGAACAATATATTTAAAGCACATTTATAACAGAGCCGTGCACAAACATGAATATCATTACAGCAGAGCCGTGCACAAACATGAATATTATTACAGCAGAGCCGTGCACGAACATGAATATTATTACAGCAGAGCCGTGCACAAACATTAATATCATTATAGCAGAACCGTGCACAAACATGAAAATCACTGCAGTAGAGCCGTGCACAAACATAAATATAATTACAGTAGAGCCGTGCACAAACATGAATATAATTACAGTAGAGCCGTGCACAAACATAAATATTATTACAGCAGTCCTGATGGTCTGCATAAGATAACACGAATGTTCAGAAACTTCAGGGATCACATCATCCTCTGCATCAGCAACTTTCTCTCCGGTCTCGGAGTTAATAGTGGGAGCTGGCTTGTTTTTAAAGTCTTCAATATTCCATCCCAACCCATTTGCAGAGAATCTTGTGAGTCAAATTGGAACTCCGCTCCTCAACTTCTACTCCTCAGATTAATGTTTCAGGATTTATTGATGATTCTTACCGTAATAATTTGGGGACCAGACTACAGACTAGAATCCACACCAGATCCAAAGGGGATCCTCCACTTGGACCTCTCACAAAAGGTCGAATCCTTGGAGAGTTCCGTTAACCAGTTTACACGGGCTTCTCTTAAAGCAGTCTCCTTCCTGACACTAGGAACCCAGCACTCATTCCAGGAGGCCGGGTCATCCATCTTACTCCAGGTACAGGGTTCTTCCATGAATCACTCACGAGCTCCTCCTCTTTCAGTCCAAAGGGGATTCTAGGTCTAATGAATTACTTAGATCCAAATATCTTAAACTTAGAGATCTGCTTTAAGAGAAGCCTGTGTACACTGGTTAACGGAACTCTCCAAGGATTCAACCTTTCCTGAGAGGTCCAAGTGGAGGGAAGGAATACCAGAGTTACCTGCTTGGAGGAGAAGAGGTGGTCAGAAGAGGTCTTACTCCAAGGTTCAGAAACCTGGGAAGGATCAAAGGAAGAGATTAAGGTTAGCTAACTCCACTCTGGCCACTCTGGGAGCAACAATATAAAAAATCTGTCGGTAAGAAAGCCTCATACAATCATAGATCATCTTGTAATATAATCTGAACTCTGTATCCCGCATCATCCTCGCAAAGAACGCCTTGAACTTCTCCGGGAACATCCTGGCCCACTCCAGGATACACCAGCATTGACTTCGCCCAAGAGGTTCACTCTAAAGATTGACCGGATTAAAACTTTATTTTATTATGTGAACATGAAAAAATATAGAATTTACAATTTAAAACGTATATATCTACTGAAATCTTTCAATATAAGAGATAATCACTATAATAGCGAGAATTCAAAAGTTTTGACCTTATATTTTAATCCTCAAAAGTTACGATCTCTCTAGACGCGAATCCCGGCTCTCCTTTCCCCAGGGGCTTCACAGCACACTCAAGTTCATCAGGGGTTAAGAGAATTACACAAGACGATTTCGTCTCGTAACAATAGTACCTGTACATATACATACATTCAATTTTGATGCTTTATAAAAAGTAAATGTTTTTGTTTGTAATCTATAAGCCGGCCAAATGTAACATTTGCCCCCTTGAGTAAATATAGATATATATATATAAATTCTTCAGATTAATTTTTCGCCTCACAAGAAGATTCCATCTAAACATGGCGTCAAACCTTATAGAAATCCAACGTATAGAAACCGCTACGTGTAGCAACATGGCGTATTTTCCAAGAGAACATTTTTTATATTTTTGAGAAATTAAATAATCAGTGTAAAGTAGATATAATCTTCATAAAATCCTTTCATTTAAATGGTAAAACGGAATTTTATGAAATCATATTCGCATTACTGGAGAACTTTTTAATACTTTTGAGAATTTTTTTCTTCTAAAATAAAACTGTAGATAGCATTTTTGTAGAATATTTTTTAAATAGTAACATGCAAATTTATGTATAACCATATAATCTTTCATTTATGTTGTCAGTACATAATAAAACACAATAGAAAGCAGTACAAATGCACACTACATATTAAAATATTTTGCTCCTTTAATGTCTGGGGTATGTTAAAAAAATAGAAATTATGAAAATGATAATGATAAGCTACAATGTTTTACAAAAACGTTTAATTCTCAAAAATATAAAAAAATTCTCCCGGAAAATACCCCATGTTGCTATACGTACCTGTTTCTATACGTTGGATTTCTATAAGGTTTGACGCCACTAAACATAACACTTCAATAGATTAAAAAAATTAAAATTCTTTTTTAATAATGTTTTATCCTCTGGGTAACATATTCGTAGCAAAGGTTGCATATCCGGCCGGCCATCAGGACTCAATTTTCAACCAGAAAAATAAGGATATCTCCATTATCATTTCTCCAGAGATTCCGAAAATAATATTGCAATAAAATATCTACAAAGTAGAATTTAAAACTTATTCATTCAATAAACGCTTTTGCATCAATTGTAAATTAAATATGTTTAACTATAGCTGGAAAATAAAAAATTTGTTTATCATAATATATATTTTTTATTTTAGTTTTTAAATTATTTAATGATTCTTAAAATGATGAAACATTTTCTTTGAGATATGTGTACTAACTTACAACTTTAAAGTTTACAACTTTTTGTAATGATATCAAAAAAATTCTTTAATAGATTTTAAAAGTGTATTTTTCTAAAAACATCGAAATATGTGGTTTTTGTAAATCAATTATACGTTTAAAGGGAGTGTTCGCGAAATATTAAAGGGGGTATAGGTTAACATCTGTAATAAAAATAGTAGTAAAATCCCATATTTGTAAACTTAAACATACCTATATCTATTAAGTGACACATTACCTGTACCCTAACTGAGATCGTAATTTCTGAAAAAAAAACCTATCGGTCCTGATCATTAACATGGATTACGATTTAGTTTAATTATGTTCATTAATTTAACATGTACCATAACACTCAAAATATAGATTAGACACAAATTAATTCTCGTGTAAAGAAGCAGAGAGTCGAGTCGAGTTTTATCTCGATAGATAGATACATACTAAGAAATATGGAGAGTGTTGTACTTTTAAACCCTATATAAGCCATACATCGAAAGAATTCATTAAATGTCGTATTCTTTACTTTCTGATAATGGAATGTTGCAGATATTTAGGTTTTTCATTAAATGATTATGTGGAGCTCTTTATAATTCAGGGTTTAACTGTATATAGGTCGAATTCAATCTGATGCATCCATAGAGAATAGAATATATATATATATAGAGAGGAATTTACTAGAAAAAAGTGTAAAACGGCCATTTTGTCGTACTGTTTCCATACTGCAGGTGTACTTCACATATTTGTGCTATATATAACCTGTTGGGCCCTGGAATATCATTTTATTGAAAATCTAAAATTATTGTTAAAAGAAACCCAAATTATGAAATAGGCAGGTTTCATAATTGACCAATGATCATTTCACATAGACTCTTTGCCTTCCACTTTACAAACGATGATTTTCCGTTATAATTATAAATCAAATGATTTTTTTATTCACCTAATTCATAATAAAGTTTATTTAACAGTTTAAAAAATTCGAAATTGAAATGAATAGTCTAGGGAACATACTGTATTAATGTACTCTACTGCATATAATTTGTGAACATTTACATGATTTGTACACTTTGAACTCCCTTTCAGGCTGAAAGGAAATGAAAAAATTCATACCAAGAGATTCTTTTAATTCCTATATTCTATTCTCTATGGATGCATCGGTATAGAATACATTCTTTAATCTAAAAGACATTTATTTGCCCGCTAGGCGTCTCTGCCCTTGACATTACGGGGTTCCATGTGGGATCGAGACACCTGGCGGTCGAAAAAAAATCGTATATTAAAAGAATAAAAACTATTATCAAATATCAACTTTATATGGAATGCATCGAATTATATTCGACATTTACAGGTTAAATTATTTAAATGATTAGTTTTAAATTTAATTGAATTATTTACAATGTGTGTGGAATATTACAGTTCAATGAATTTGTGTGGATCCTACGTTCTTCTATATTAGTTGTATTTTTTAATCCGTTTCTCCTTTTAGGCGCAAAGTAAGATTAGAAGTGATCACCGTCGAATTCGATTCGATCTTAGCCTATACCCCCGTTCATTTTTCGTGAATACTCCCTTTAAAGAATCTTTGATGAGTTCAAATTTTAAAATTCGCGGTAAAATTCCCAATTTCAAGTTAAAACACGTTTCTAAAACTAAAGAGTTAAAACCCATGAAATATAAACGTGACTAATGTTAAAAAACTATTCAAGGATATTGAATTTAGACAAAAGAGAATAAAACATAAATTAACATAAATGCAGAAAACCGTAGAATCCGTACTTCCAACTTTATTCAAATATTTCCCACTTCCCAGTGTGAACCTTTTCATACAATTCAATACAATGATGAAAACTTTCGATTTCAATTTTGATTTCTACCAAGTTTTTAAACTGCATTAGCGGAGATCTTTAGAATGAGATATCCTTAATCCCGATAACTTAATCTGAGTATCCAATGGACACACTTTTGATTTGATTCTTAAACCGTTCTTTTAGACATCCCTGTCCGGGATTAGGACGAATAAAATTTCTGAAAAATTTGTAAATTATATATTGATCAATGAGAGACTTGATCATAAACTCTGACCAATATGGATAAATAAAAACATGGAAACAAAGAGAAGAAATCAATTTACAGCTCATTTTTGTTTACAAGAAATGAAAATAGAAAAGTCGTCTACATTGTGTTGATATAATCACCAACCACTGTTGATGGGCGTATAAACGGGGGAGGGGGCTATAGAGTGCTAAGACCCTCTTTTCTGAAAAGTGGCCGGGTGTAATTCCCCAGTTGACTATTAAAAGAAGGTGAGGTCCTTCTTTCTTCTTTCAAGGGAGCTCAGCACCCTGAAACCTTCCTGAAACCCATAGATTTCACTTATGAACGCCTCTGTATGCCCCTCATAGAAGGATACAGAACAGCTCGTCATACAACTGGTTTTTAACAAATATTTATTTTAAATCTACCTAAGCTCTATCGCAAAAATCTACGAGGATTTTGAAAATAACTTCTTCAAACCCGCTTTAAAATAATTTCCATTGATCCAGGGGGGCTTAGCAATGAAATACCCCCCCTCCCCCCTGTATACACGTTTGTAGTTGTTAGCCCTTTTTTAATCTACGAAAGCCAAGAAACAGGGTTACCCACATATGATACGACTTTAAGAACGACTCAAAACACCACAATAAATATAACAATCTAAAGGTTACTTTTTTGTACAGAGTTATCTTTAAAAGATAAGACTTCAAAGACGACTGTAGATAATTTATACTACCTGTTTCCTTATATTCACAATTCCCTGCTATTGTGAACTTGTTTGTTTGCCAAATCATTAAATAAGCCAGTAGATTACTAAATCTAAGGCAGAAGACTTAAATTAACCTTGGGATCGTTATAATTTAAGAGTTTCAGGTCGTCTTTAAGTCTCATCCTTTCTGGGTAACCCTGTAGTTCCACCTTAAAAGATGATAAGCTCCAACTATAGAAATATCTAGATTTATACATATTATAAGACTAGATATCACTATTCACAAGGGGGGGGGGGGAACTATGGGGATGGCCCCCTTCTCCCTCCTGGATAAGTGAAAACTGTGGTTCCTTACAGAGCTAAAAACAAAAGGTTGCACGCACTAACGCAAAAATCTTTTTAAGATCTAGATATTTATTCATGTATCGAGGTTATATTACAAAATTTGTTTATATGGATTTAACAGAAAACTATTTTACGATAGTTTCGTGTACATACATTAATTAAGAAGAAATCTATTAGTTTACGGATACATTTTTTCGTTTTTTCTTGCCATAATTAATGTTACATTTATATTCAAGTATTGACGAAGCAGCAGCTCAAAGGAAAAAAACTACATTATATTTAATAGGATAGCATACTTGTATGCAATGTGACTTAGAAATACGACAAACACGGTGTGTCTTATCAATTATTAGGAAATGCTAACGCAAAAATCGATGAGTATTTGGCGACAATTTAAAGGGACTGTAAAGGAAAAATGAAAGGGGTATATAGGCTGAAACCTAAGAATCTCAGGAGTTAAACGAGACCTATAATACATCTATCTGATGTTCCTGTCTCGAGAAATTGACATAAAACTGTGTCAAAATTTTACGTAAACGTATTATGTAAGATTTACGTTCGTATCACATTACCAAAACTCCCTCCAATGGCAGTGCAGTAAACTGGTCACGTGATACAGACGGATACACATGACAATAATACTGCAATGCCATTGGTTGGAGTTTTGGTGACATGTTTCGGAAGCTTAAATGATATTATCAATTATATCTATTAAAAATGAAAAATTATTAAATTCAAATAATAATAGGAGCAAACTTGAGTTTCTCAGGCGCCTGTGGGATATCGTTGTTTTCAGATTGGTTGCGTATTTGTTGAATATGATCTGTTTAATATTACGAATCTTATATAAAATCTTATATATATGCGTTTTGATATAATTTTGACACAGTTTATTCAATTTCTTGCGACAGGACCATCAGATAGAACTCTTATATGTACGTCTCAATCAACTCCTGAGATTCTCATGGTTTCAGCCTATATACCCCTTTCCAAGGGTGTAATGCAAGGAAAGTTAATTGCGGTCGTGTATACTCTGCGTACATATTAAAACCAGTTCTCTTTGGGCGGATTTTGTAAACAAGAATCGATGCATCAGTGTTCTTTTAGTATCCGAGGAGGTTAAAAGCATTAAATTTTGATAATTTTGATAATTCACATAATAGTTTCCTATTACCAGAATATTTCATTGATTTTTTTTATGTGAAAGATGGATCCCATGTCAGGCTTTGACATCCGTCTTGTGTTTACATTACCGCCCAGAGACAGTACACTGCAGTACAAAAGATGTGTACACTTCTGAAATAACTTTCCTTGCATTACGATCCTTGCCCCTTTCATTTTTCCTTTACAGTCCCTTTAAAGTTGACCCCTACTTAAAAATTGCTGCAACTGTTCATAGCAGTTTGGCTTAACTGCTTCTGTATGGACCCCTATGGGCCTATAACCCTACATGTAAAAGTTATGCATGTTTTAATACCCAATTTATTTTCAGACAAAATTTGTGCATTGATATTTATACTACAGCTAGCGTCCCATATCATATTAGATTATCTCCAATCTTTAACGCCAAAATTCGCATATAATACTCGAAAAATCTAGCATTTTCTGCAAAATAAATTTCTTTTAGACTTATTAAATTTTTTAAATGATTCATTCTTCCTAATTTTTCTGATTTGTCCCCCAAATCGTAATTTAGGCCCATTGACGCGGTCTAATTTGATGTGGGACACCCTGTACATACAGAGCGTCCCATATCATATTAGATTATCTCTAATCTTTAACGACAAAATAAACCCTAAATGCTCGAAAAACTTATCATTTTCCGCAAGAAAATTATTATATAAGCCTTATGTTATTTTTCAAATTGATTTATTTTAATTAAATTTTCTTATTAGTCCCGAAAATCGCAATTTAGACCTGTTGACGGTCTAATATGATGTGGGACACCCTGTAGTCTAAATTGATGTTTTGAAGCGTGAGAGATGGAAAAATGGCAGGGCTTGAATGTCGTCTTAGTTCACAAACCCTGAAAAAATGTATTTGCAAATGTAAATGATTTGAAAGGTACAGAATTAAATGGAATTTCTTATTCTTTCTATATCACACTTATTCTATTGGGAAATTGTTGAAAATTTCAACATTATAGTATTCATACTAATTTAAAGGGTTTATAAAAGGATAAGACGGTAAAGACGACCCGAAACTCTTAAAATATGATTATTTCAAGGTTAAAAGAGGTCTCATGCCAATAATTTGGTCTTTTTACGGCTTATTGAATGATTTGGCAAGGAAAGAAACCAGTTTATATTGTAGGAATCATGATTCATGTACAAAAGGAAACAGACGATATAAATTCCGTAAAGTCGATTCTGAATTCTCATCCTTTTTGGGTAATCCTGTAAACTGTAAAACAATAGAAACCAGAAAACGGTGGAATAATTTTTGTCATATTTATTTTCATTTTCATTTGAAATTGTGTAAAAAAGGTACACTTGGCAAATTCAGGAACAAAGGATATTTTGGAAGAACTGTTTTTTTTATAATACTTGTATGTATATACTATGCAGGTTTCACCATGATATGTTAACCTGCATGTTGTATAAGATGAGAATGATATAAGAAAGGAGTTTGAAACTTCTCCCCACATACTTTACACTCTAGTTCCTCTTCTAAATATACAGGGTTATATACCTGAGCCCAAAACTTTAAACAGGGTATAGTCATGAAACCATGTATCGGAAACCCGATGTCGTGCATGAGACAAATAAATCCCTGCTGGAAACACTTCCCCCTAAAGTTTTAACCATTTCAACACAATGTTAGACATAAAAAGCAATGTTATGACATTTTCCGATATTTATGAATGTTTTTTGATTGAAAAAAAAACATTAAAAGTTATCTGTGTCTCGAGTAAATATTAATTTTTTGATGATTTCAAAGGAAGACAACTTTCAAGAGGAAATAACTTTTTTGCTTTTACCCCCTTTAAGTTCATTAAATAACTAAATGCATATTTAATATATGTCAACTAATAATTTTTAATGTTTTAAATTGCTTTTTATGTCTAACATTGTGTCCAAATGGTTGAAAACTTTAAGAAGGGGTGTTTCAATGCGAGGGATTTAAGGCCCCATGACCTTCACCGGTTTTCTGAATGGGGTTAGGCAGTTTTATATCAACCAATATTTTTTTTACGAAATATTATTCTATTTAGTTTCTTCATTTTCTCCATTATTTTCATGAATCGTTTGATGAACCGTTTTGATGAATCGTTTGATGAATCGTTTGATGAATCATTTAGATGAATCATTTTGATGAATAGTTTTGATGAATTGTTTTGATGAATCATTTTGATGAATAGTTTTGATGAATAGTTTTTATAACTGATTTAGCTGAATTTTTTGATGAACCGTTTTCATAAATTGGTTGATGAATCGTTTAGGTGAATCGTTTGATGAATCGTTTTGATGAATAGTTTTCATGAATCGTTTTGATGAATCGTATATAAAAAGAAAGATATCTAATTCATGTGAAGTTGTGAAAGTCCAATATTACAATTTCAAATTTAATCCGGGGCTGAATTTAAACTACGAGAGGTTATTGAACCACGTAGAGGGTTTAGCAGTTCAATCTTTAATGACTGGTTCAACTGGTTTTTTAAAACTATCAGCCAGCTAGTGACATAAAATTAGTGCAAATTGTGTCATTAGAAAGATATCAAAGATGAAAGGCAATATTTGAGTTTTTATTTAAATGTTATGTTTTTTGGGACTTTTAATATTTAAATATTACCTTGATGCATAATAAGATGGGTTGTGAGATTTAAATACTTAGAGAATCCTTTTCCACATCTGAATCATTTAAAAAGTGTAAATCAAATTTTTTGGATATGAATACAGTGATCGAACCAGAAAACTTTAGAATAGGAAGACGACTTTTAGTCTCAAGTTAAAGGACTTTAAATAGACCAATATATTATCGCTATAATTTCGTTATACTATTAAACAAATTTTTCTAATTTGTCTATTTCAGTTTCTGGATCAATTTTGGTCGAAAATAATGCAAATTTACTAAATTAAATGTCATCTAATAGTTTCTGTTTCTTTGATTTTTTTTCTCGTCATTTTGATGGGTGACATTTAATATATCAAAATTGTTTTTTACCTATGGCATGAAAATGGCCAGACTCCACTGTGTGTAAAACTAAACAAAGAATTCTTAAATTATAAAAACTTTGAAACTTCCACAGCAAAATTTCATATTTAAAAGAAACATCGTAGAAGGCAATTATTCCAACGTTTTCTGGATACCACTATCTCTATAAATATATATATATACTTCGCTGGTCTGTCTGTTTGTTTGTATCCAATAAGCGTCAAAACAGCACAACCAATCTGGCCCAAATTTTGTGTGGGACCTCAAATGACCCCAGTCCCAGGAGGTTTAAGGATGATCAAAATTTCAAAAATAAGCCTCCAACAAAAGTGGATTTTTATCGAATTTTAAAAATCCGCGAACTTTTTGTAAGTTATTGTTTTACAAAGTATACAAAGAGAAAATGTCCATAATTGAAATAGAAGATGGGCGCGAAGCGCCCTGAAAGCTTAGTATAATATACTTTGCTTGTTTGGATAGTTGTCTGTTTGTATCTAATAAACGTAAAAATGGTTGAAACTATCAGGCCCAATTTTTCAAAAGCCATGAAAAATATGGATAAATCTGCAAAATAATTTTTGTTTCTATTTGATAATTTAAGAAAAAATTTGCCGCAAATAAAATAACAAATTAAGTTAAAATCTAAGAGGGCGCGAGGTTCCCTAATAACCTAGTACTTACAAAATGTCCAGGTTTAACTTCTTAGCTTAAATAGAAATTGGCTCATGCTTTTTAAACGTACTTGTTATTTTGAAAATACATGCATAGTATTAGAAACACAACACAATTGTATATTGAACCAGATTAGATGAGCCTTCAGATGTAAATGCATAGATAGATACATACATAGATATCAAATATACCCATTAGATAGTTTATTAAAATATTGCCTGTGTGATTTCAGATCTCCTGGTGTTGGGAAGGATTTAGAGCAGTGGTTGCATTTATGTGGTTTATTCTAAACAGTATTGTGGTTTATTCTAAACATTAGTGTGGTTATTCTAAACATTAGTGTAGTTTATTCTAAACAATAGTGTGGTTTATTCTAAAAATTAGTGTGGTTTATTCTAAACAGTATTGTGGTTTATTCTAAACAGTAGTGCGGTTTATTCTAAACAATAGTGTGGTTTATTCTAAACAGTATTGTAGTTTATTCTAAACATTAGTGTGGTTTATTCTAAACATTAGTATTGTTTATTCTAAACATTAGTGGGATTTATTCTAAACATTATTGTGGTTTATTCTAAACATTAGTGTGGTTTATTCAAAACATTAGTGTGGTTTATTCAAAACATTAGTGTGGTTTATTCTAAACATTAGTGTGGTTTATTCTAAACATTAGCATGGTTTATTCTAAACACTAGTGTGGTTTATTCTAAACATTAGTGTGGTTTATTCTAAACATTAGTGTGGTTTATTCTAAGCATTAGTGTGGTTTATTCTAAACATTACTGTGGTTTATTTTAAACATTAGTTTGGTTTTCCAATCATCTAATATAACAAACATTGTGCTGTGTCACAAAAAAATTTTGATTTATGATTCTTTTTTACATATTCAAAATATTAATACATTTTACAAACCATATAAAATCTTTTTAAACATTTTTAAAACAGCAGGTCTCACCTTGTTATGAGTCATTCTGTGATAGTATAAATTACTTGAAGCTGTGAACCGTTTTCCACAAACGTTACATTGATGTGGTTTCTCACCACTATGAATTCGTCTAAAAATAACAAAAACGTTAAACGTGATTTTCGTTTGTTCTTAAACTGCACATTGCATAATTAAAGAAAATTAGATTTTGGCAACTGCAAATTCAAATTTTGTAATCCCTATATCTTTGCAATTTTATGGTGTAAACCTTTAATATTTTAAACTTACATATCAGTATTAGAAAATCAGAGTTTAAGACAAAGGCTCAATTCCTTTTTTAATACCTATATCTTTGCAACCCGATGTCGGTGACCTTTGATGTTTCTAATTATGAATTATTTTACAACATGTCTAGGTTTAAAATATATCAATGGTGTTCACCGTCAAGTTGCAAAGATATTGGGTTTAGAAAACCTGATATAACATATTTTTGTCTCGATATTTTTTAAACGCTTGAGTGCTGTCCACGACTTTTGTACAACATGTTTAAATTTCAATAAATAAGTTCATTTCAAGGTATAATTATAAGTTTATAACAACATCAAATAACTACTGATATAATTGCCTAAATGTCGTCTTCCTATTGCAAAAATTAACCCGATGTTGTGCATTAGTTAATTCATCTCCCTGCGACAGCTAATCTTAGTGTTTTATCCATTTTAACAATATTTTAGACATTTAGATGTTTATTAATACAATGGAAAATGGCATTGAAAATTATGTATGTCTGGAAAGAATATTGAATTTTAAACAAAAACGACATTTAAGAGGAAATCACTTTTTTAGCGTTTTGCCCATCAATAATACATTTTAGAGCTAATTGCCCATTTAATAATGTAAAATAAAAATTGTAGATGTTTAAATATTGCTTTTTATGCTTTTTAAAATTGCGTTGAAATGTTTAAAACTTTGGGGGGGGGGGGGAGGTGAGATGAACTGATGCAGAACACCGGGAATGTTGATCCATTAACGAAAAAGTTTGCATTATTACCTATGTGTATTTAAGCTGGAGCTGGTGGAAAACCCCTTGTTACAAACATCACAAATATGTGGTTTCTCTCCAGTATGAGTTCTCATGTGTCTTTTTAACAAGCTCGGTCGGTCAAACGTTTTCCCACACACAGCACAGGGAAGTAACGTTTTCTCTCTTGGTCGTCTTCCTGGACCCGTTCGGGCAAACAGGTTGGGAGGGGATGAAATTGGGAGTTGGGAGATCATTTGGTAGTTGGGCTTTGGGACGGATTGGACGGGTTGGGGGAACGTTTGGTTGGGTTTGGATGAGGGTTGTGTGGATGTGTACGGATTAAGAGGGGAGTACACCAGATCTAGCCGGTTAAAACTGGAATTCGTCGGATTTGAAGGATTTAAGCTGGATTGTACCAGATTCAGAGGATTAGAGCTGGATGGATTAAAAAGATTGGAACTGATCGGATTATAAGGATTAGAGGTGGATGGATTAAATGGATTAGAATTTGGCGGATTAAAAGGATTCAAGCTGGGCGGATTAAATGGATTAGAACTTGGCGGATTAAAACGATCAAAAGGATTTTGATATGATGCAATTTTATTGATGAATTGAACTGTGTTGAAGGAAGGATTGGAACTGAAGGCTGAAGGACGCATGGACGATTGAAGAAGAAGGAACGGAGAACTATAGTTACATAAAAGAAAATTTAAGAAAGTGAAATAATTGGGATAATTTCAAGTAAAAAACATCAAAAAGGTTAAAAATTTGTGTTAGGACTTTTCATGGCCCAGTGGTGGGTATTGATCAGTGATAGTTGGAGCCTATTTTTTCCTATTTGTTGATTGTAATGAATTTGCATTTGTAATTTTTCATACAGAACAAAAGTAGCTAAGCTAAAAATTAGTCAAACTCAAACCTATAAATTTAAAAGTTTCCAATTCTCATAGTTTGCGAATTCAACCCAGTTTCTTTTTTATCAACCCCTTCCGAAACCTGTGGCCGAATTTAAAGAATTTGGGCGGCGGTTTAAATTTAAGCCGCGGGTTAAATATGGTTCGTTTTACTTAAAATTGTATCAAATGTTTCAAGATTTAAGCCAGCGTTTAATTTAAACCGGGTTTTGGCAGATTTAAACCGCAGCTCAAATTCTTTAAGTTCCATCTCTTTTCTCAAATATTTTGTTTGAATATTTAAAAAGTAGGAAAATACCTGAACAATCCAGAATTTATGAGGCCAGACCAAAACATCGGGTCGGGCCTGAATCCTGAATCAAAATAAAAATTTTAAAATTGATATTATAAAATATACACACAAGAAGTCACAAATAAATTTTAAAAAATAATATCCTTAATATCCCAGAAATTCACAAAATTATGATGTACAAAAGAAGAATTTAAAGTTTTATGCTAATTTCCTGCAATTTTTAAAGAAAATTAGGTAATTTATAATATTAAGATTCGGTGTTGTAGTAATCTAATTGCTTTGCATAGAATGTAAAAAAAAGCAGTAAAAACGGGATTTACAAATATAAACTGCCAAATGTTTGCTTATTTGAGATTGAAAGATCAGTAGTGTTTATAGACGCTTATTTCTTGATCAATTAATCATTCATTTTCTGAAATACTGGGATCTAAAAGCAACCCAAGAAAGACCTGATATATCTCCTTCTTCCAATGGAACACCTCTTTCTAATGGAACATCTTTTTCAAACGAAATACCTCCTTCAGCCTTTACAACATGAGGAAGTTTTAATCTGTCTGCTTCTTCTGATTCTCCTGAAAGAATTTCTGCTGATACGGATGTTCCGACAGGTTCAGGTAAATCATCTGATTCAGCTGATTTGGTTTGGTTTGAAACATATGATTCAGCTTTTTTGGTTTGGTTTGGAACACTTGATCCAGCTGATTTAGTTTGGGTTTCAGCACTGGATTCAGCTGATTTGGTTTGACTTGGAACACCTGATTCAGCTGATTTGATTTGGTTTGGACCATTTGATACAGCTGATTTGGTTTGGTTTGGAACACTTGATTCAGCTGATTTGGTTTGGTTTGGAACACTTGATTCAGCTGATTTCATTTGGTTTGCAACGCTTATTCTTGATATGCTTCCATTTTGAAAAATGTTATTATATTCTAACAGAAAGAATTTTTTACTAATTGAAATCTCTTTTTTTATGTAGGGTTGGGGTTTATCTTCATCGTATTTTGGGAGAATTAGTAAATAAATAAAATCATTTAATACCTTAATTTGTAAAATATTCTTCCTTGATTATTTGGAGCTTTTTCAGCTTCATCCACTTCTATATCATTCTCCACTTCAATGTAATTTTCATCCTCATCATTTTGAGTCAGATCCATTTCTTTGGAATGTAAACGTAACTTTTGTTGAACTCGATCAAACTTTGATCGGAAAGAGAGAAGATCATTTTTCGATTGGATTTCAAATCTACCTTCGCCAGAAGAATGTCTTGATCGTGATTGATTTCTTATCAGGAATTGATTTCTCAGTTTTTCTAGATTTCCCTTGATTGATTCTGATTGATTTAGGGCGGTTATATATGGATATCTGCTCAGATCAAGCGGTCTCTCATCTAAGATCAATTTAAAGTTATCCTTAGAGTAAAAGTAATTCCTAGAGTCTAATAATTGATTACATAATTAACTGGAAACATCATTTGTGTTTGGTGATAACCTGAGTCTCAAATGAAAAAGAAACCTCCCAAAAAATTTTTTTTGACACAAGAGAATAGATTATACATAGAGCGGAGTTTACTCGAAAAAAAAGTGTAAAACGCCCATTTTGATGTACTCTATTCTATTTTCTTTGCTTAAATCCCAGTACGTAAACTCCGATTCTTTTCATATTAGGAACTACTAGGCTGGCTTTTACACCCTTGGACGTCGAATTCATTAGCCTTCACAAACAGACTATAAGGCGAACCGGGACCGTACACCAAATGAAATGATCGCTTTTAGACTTGAATATCACTTCGGATTTTGCCAAATTATCTTTCAAAACTAAAGCTTTAAAAACAGTGTGTTTGAGTTTCGAGGTTAAAAACAAACTAGAAACAGGTTTGGCGACATGTTAAAGTTGTACCGGTCACAAAACTACATCATTGATAATTTGGTCTGTATCTTATTGGTTTAAAAAAAATTTTCCCCAAATTTTTGCGTAGTAAGCAAATCAATTTCACTTATTTAATTCAACCATTTAAAAGTTTTTAGCTTAAGAGCAATGTACTTTGTAATTCCAATCTCACTTACTTTCAAAATCATTCAGCGCGCATCACTTTTCCGTTAATACTTATTCACTAAAAGTGCATCAAGCGAGAATGTTTTTATTTCAAAATATGTACTGGTATCAAAAATCCGTCTAAAAACACAGAATTTAAAAATATTACAATCATAAAAGTTTGCTAAAAATTGAAATTGAAATTTCATATTGTCCCAGGGTTATTTTAACCGGATTTACTAATACATCTTTTGATTATTATTATTTCCATACAAACTAATTTGTTTTATTGCATATTTTGATTTTTTTACATCAATTTTCTCAGTTATATTCAAACAGAAAAAGAAGTAGCTTAGGTTTAAACAAAAATTCTGTAGAGAACGGCAATTCTTTAAAAGTTATTGTACTTTTTAATTAATGATCAAACTATTTACAAACCTTCTGCTTCTGAATCCATATTTTCTCCAATTCTTCATAAGTTTTTTTTCTATGATAGAAATATTCAAATATTCACGATCCAAGAAAGAAATCAGTCTAGAATATTTGTTGTTGCCAAAGGCATATTGAAGCTTGTATCAATATGGCCAGTACCTTACTAAGCTGAAATTGGTGTTAATACTCGGAAAGAATCATTGTCACCCTTTTTATTTGATGTCATTATAGTCCAAGTTTCTGCCGCCAGGCGTAGTTCTGATTGGACGAGATGGAGCCGGATTTGGCGCCAAGATTCTGGTTCGCGGATTTTTTAAAAGCTTTTCCGCTCTGATTGGTTGGAATAGTAAGGGACAGTGACAGACAGTAGACACACTTTGTTAGGGGGTAAATCAGGTACAGGAGGTATATACAAAGGGGTGCTACATGGTTGAGGGGTGGGGGCTCTAATCCATGAAAAGAAGAAGAGGAGTACAAATGAGATTTACTTAACCCATTTAACACGAATTTGTACTTTATTGCAACATTACTTTAAAATTACACCAACACACCATTCAGTTGTACCGTCCAGTCTGACTCACCGTAGTTTCAAGAGTCCATTAGGATTTTTCTCCAATAAAACACAAGCGCGATTTTTCGACCAATAGTGATAGTGTGCTATCTATCTATCTTCAGCGCTTAATGGCGCCGGTGAATTTATCTATCTATCTTCTTGTATCTAACTATCTTTCTTGCTATCGCTGCAGTAAACATGATTTCGGG